CCCCAAAACCCCAAAACCCCAAAACCCCAGGGTTGCACCATCAGATTGAGAATGGGTTAATTAATAAATACTATTTTTCATTATATTTATTATTCTGATTTTTCTTCATGAATGATTTCCAATTGGTGTCTTGTCAAATTATTTGAACTGTAGTTGGCCTTTCTTAATCTTTTGCTGATTCTAAAGAGTTGTTAGTGGATCTTACCTTGGCTTGAACTTCACAGAGTTAATGTGTTTGGGTTTGAAGGTTGAGGGGGAGGGAGAGAAGGTAGTAAAGGGATCTGGGTTGGTTGAAGGGGGCTCCTTGTTTCGTAGCTTTTTTAGATTTTTATGTGGAGGGGATATTGAGGACGATTTCTGGCCAGGCTTAGAACCAATTGATCTAGTCAGATTTCGCTGAGATATCTATGCTGAATAATAATAACTTACTGTATTTTTGTCATGAGGGGCCCTTTTATGCTTTATTGGGTTTAAATTTTTCTCAGGAGAATCTAAAATAATTTATACTCAATTCTTACTCATTGTTTCAGGAATGCTTATAATAACAGAAGGATCAATTGGCTCACTCATCTCTTTTTTATTATCTTTATGAAGATTTTTATACTCTTCAATTAGAATTTCTTCTTCTCTACAAAATTTATTTAAAAATGATTTCAAACTAAATTTCTTATTGTTTTTCTATTAAAAGTTCTTTCACCCAGAAAGGATATAATTAGCTCCTAGATTATCATTAAACATGAAATTGTAGCATAGTAAAATCCTAAGAATCAAAAACTAACGAGGCTCTCAAATATGCTTCGATTTAGCTACTCATACTAAATTTTCAGAGTTAGCTTTCTCCAAGATTTTCAATGCCTTTAACTTCAAGGCTGACAGAGCTCTAAAAATTCCATTTTCATATAATGTTTCGACTTTATCAAACATATCAGGAACTTTGGTTTATAAATTTTCCATAAAACCGCATTAAAATCCACTCTTAAATAGTGTTTTGAGTAATTTCTCATATGCTTTCTCTCTATGGCAATGTAGCCCATTCTGTATATTCCTAAACTAATTCTAGCACTAACTTTAGCTATATATTTTACCTTTTCTTTAGCTCTTTCTCTTGGTTTTCCTTCCTTTCTTTCCTGATTCTTTTCTTTCTATTTTTATTGTGCCTCACCTTCTTATGGATATACTGCTTTAGTCTTCCATAAGAGCTCTTAATCACTGTGTATATTATGACGGACAGATTCTTCAAAATGCTAAGTGCTATAACTCCTAAAGAGTTAGAAGTAGCTTACCGACTAATAAAAAGGCGATTTTCCTACTATTGTCATAATCTTGTTGGTACCGATATAGGCAAAACAGGATGATGATACTAAAGACAATAGCAAATTCGTCTGAGACTCAAATCACTTGCTGTAGCTCTGATTTGAACGGCCGAATACGCATCAAGAAGTAGGTCAACTAAGTGTGAGAATTATAGCTTACCATTAGCTGGATCCCGAAGCATAATAATATCTGCAGAAATGTTGTCTCATAGAATATTACTAAGATACCAGTGATAACAAGCCTTTGGAATAAAAATAGAATGTAATAGCTTCTGTGGTAGAGTGTTCTACCGAGATGGAAGCCTTCAGTAAGGGTCCCAAACTTTGAATCAAAAGTTGCTCGCTTGAGAAGTTTGGGAGGCTTCGAGAGGATATTCAGAATCAAGAATGGCCAGCAGAGCACAAATATCTAGGAGTTATTGCAAATCTTACTCCAACTGCATACATAATTAATGTGCAAATTTTACTACTTGTTGTTGAAAATTGAGTCTAAATTGATCATCGAGTGAAGTTACATTTAGTGAGTTCAAGAAGAAAGCAAGTGAAATCTCTATATAAAGCTCTGTAAAAGTTCTCACTGGAGCATTCCAGAAGAAACTCTCCCAAAGCTCTGCTGATTTATTAGTAATGTATTTTCATTTTATAAGTTTTGCGCCAATATAGATCAAAGGGAACGATATTATAAATGGTACAACCAATATTATCATTTGCTTGCTGAATAGGATTGCTAGGAAAGGTGTTTCATATCCTAAAAATTATCAATATGTTTACCATTTGCCTCAAATCTTGAATATAATGTAACATTTGTTGAAAGTTCTTTAGAGTCTATAACGTAGGTGGTAAACCAATCAGGCATCATATCTTCCATTTCATCAATCTCTCCTACCACTACGGCCATGTAGTTCATTAGAATATCAACTATTTTAGGCATTTGGACATTGATCATGAGAATATATCTGAATACTTGCAGTGCATGGATCAATGTCCACATCGTAGTAGCAGATGTTGATATCAATAACTTGAGCCCTAAATTAAAAGAGAAAACTGTCAATATGGTAAACTTCATGCTGTTTCCACTAGACTCAGCTCCTTCTTTTTCACCTAAAGTGTTACAAATGTCTTACTCTTAGGGATATAATCTACAGGATTCAGGTTTCCAATTATTTTTCCTTCAGCTAAGTTGTTGTCGGCAATATCTTTTACAGCTGAAAGATCTTCAAACCAAAACTGAATTATTTCAGTTCCTCTTCCTTGGATCCTTGCTTTGATGTCATAAACTTCAACTTGAAACGAAGTGAAGTTAGAAGCAGTTTTAAGAGTATCGGCATCCTTTATTTTGTATTCAAACTCATATTCAGATTCTGCTCCTTCTATTTTAGCCTTTAAGTTAGTTTCAAAATGATCATAACTACTAAACTTGACAGTCTCACTAAACTTAATTGTGCAAGTATTTTCAACACTAATAGATGAGATAATAGCAGTCGGGCTGACAATTTCACTTCAAACTGTTTGGTTGCATTTATACCCAATTTCTATTTCACATTTGTTAGATCAGCCATTGCCATTTATGAGGTCACCATCATCTCATTCATATTCTCCTTTGTAAAGACCATCTCCTCATATCTCTGTTCAAATTCCAAAGTCATTGATTGCAAATCCAGTAACTGTATTACAGTAAGCTCAAATACCTGGAGTTGTCATTCTGTAATTTTTGTTGCAAGATACTCATGTGTGAACATCTGGATATTCTCATACATCACAGCCTTGATCTCATTCATATCAATGAAGATCAGTCTTGTCTAGATAATATCCTTCTACTCAAGTAGCTTTACTTCATCTGGTTCCTGTTAAAATGTAGAGTTGTGATGAGTCTCATTCAGTTCATTCATTAGAGCTAGGCCCAGTTCACTTGGCACAAGTTGAATGACATTTTACTCAATTTCCACTAGCAGCATCTTTTGCATAACCATCAGGTCATGATAGGTAGCATGTATCATTTAAATAAAAATGGCCGTCCGATCATTCTTGGCAGTTAGTATTTGTTCCATCTTTACATTTTGATCCTATTAATGTTAATTTGAAATCATACAATATGAGTGGCAAGTTTCACAGGTCTTGGCTAGCAGATTTTTCCAAGTTCCATCTGAACAATAAGAGGTACATTGATTATTCTCTAGGTAATACCCATTTAAACAATCAGTGCACTGGTTATACTCATCTCCCATGCATGTTGATCAGGTATAATAGCATGCTATATTTTATAATATTTTCTTACGTTTTATGATGAGTCTAAAAGGAATTGTGCCTTCAGATGGATGATCATCCATTCCAACATAAACAAGATTCCAATTCCCTACATCCGAACCAGACAAAGAACCATAAAGTGTATTATTAGCAGGGTTGTATTGAATGTGTGGAGGCAATGCTACACCTGTAGCAAACCTGATATTAGAAGTCATCGGCCTTCCATCTGGATCTGTGAAAAATGTTTCTACAACTGGGAACTCGATATTGAACGACGATAAAACAAGCATTTCTTTGTCAGGAATAACAACTCCAAGACTTGTTGGTCCCAAATTCTCATCAATAGTAATTGTGAAATCTGTTGTGGCTGGAGCGTTGAAACCATCACTGGTTGAAAGAGTGACTGTATGAACTCCAACAATAGAATTTGATGTTGACACAATTGTAAAAGTAAAGTCTGACCCTTCAAACATGATCCAAGATGGAATGGAAGAACTGCCATTAACTTTAATAGTGTTTGTTAATGGTAAAGCTTCTGGATCGTTTGCTATAGATGCTCCAAAAGTCCAGGTCATTCCATCTGGAGCCATCATCTGCTTGTTGGTAACTGCTGAAATAGTTGGAGGGTTGTTTCCAGCAATTGTAAAATTAGCTGCCCAAGTATAGTTTGCTATATCTGAATGTGCATGAATATTTATAATGCTCAGTTCATACTCTACAGCATGTGTATTAGTAAGAGGAGTGCCAGTTGCTACAAGATGAGTTGAATTAGTCGAGCAACTCATCCATCCATGATCAGGGTTTATTGAACACTGGTGAATCAAAACATCGCTTTCTGGATCACCGATCCAACTAAGGTCAAATTCATATGTCCACAGAACTCCAATATATCCGTTTGGAGGAGCAACTGGACTTCCTACTAGATAAGCAGCTTGGTTTTGATTGACTCAAATAGTAACATTATCCTCTGCAAATCCAAGACCAGAATTTATATCTTCAGCTTTGATTGTCATAATAATGTTCCCAAACTGGCTATTATCTGGGGTTCCAGTAAAGTGAAGATGAGTTGCATTTTCACTCATTGAAAGCCAAGCCCCCTTGGTAGTGTCATTTACGATGAAAGAGTAGATTATACCTTGGCCTTCAGGATCATTGTATGATGATTTAAAAACTGAGTAATTAAGAGAGTAATGAGCAACTATTCAAGAAGGATCTACAGCAGGATTCAAAATTTCTGGAATTAGATTCGGTGTAACTGAAATTGTAAAATTTAGTTCCCCTGATGCAGAGTTTGTGTTGTTATCATCAGCAATCACAGTAACAGTGTACGTTCCAACTCCAGCATTAACAGGAGCAGTTCCACTTAAAGTCCTTGTGGTTGCATCGTAATTTATCCAAGTAGAAGAGGGAGTCGAAATTACTGAATGTGAATACGAGATTGGCTCTCCATCATCATCAACAAATAAATCTGCTGCAAAATTAGAGCTAATTGGCAAGCCAGCAGCAGTTACAATATCTGAAATGGTAGAATTAGCGTATGGAGATCTATTCGGTAGTATATAGACTTTATAATCATAGCTATTTTCTCCATTGATAGCACGATGGGAATCGCTCACAATAAATGTAAGAGTATAATAAGAGTGAATTTCTGTCACAAGAGGGACTCCAGAGAGAACTCCAGTAGTGCCATCAAGAGTTAAAGATGACAATACTGGACTAAATTCAGCAGTCCAGTATAGTACATTCTCTCCTGCATCATCTACTGCCCACTGGTCAAAGTCTACTGATCAGCTCACTCCTTCATATCAGTTGAATTCGCTAAGAGCAGGCTTTGTCAAATAAGGAGGAGCGTTTTCTTTCACTTTGATATAGATAATGGCTTCAACAGTAAATGAAGCCGGATCACTTGCGACAATCCTTACCGACTCATTGTAAGATCCAGAAATTTGTGTGGGAGTACCAATCAATTTATCAGTTGAGTCATCAGCTGTAAGCCAGGTAAGATTACCTCCTTTATCAAATAAGGTCCAAGTGAGGTCTTCTCCATCTATTTCACTGAACATGTCTGTAAGGTTGACCTCAAACGGGACTAAAGCAAACACATCATAGGCATAATTTCCTCCGTCAAACTGAGGGGGATTGTTGAACAAAATTTCAAACTCCATGGCTGTATTAGAATCTTTCGCGAAATCATCATATGCTCTGTAATTGACCGAGAAATTGCCAATGTCTGAATTCGTGGGAGTTCCCTCTAGTCTTCCCAATGGATTGTTGATTGAAACCCTACGATTACTCTAATAACTTACCAAGAACCTGTGACATTGTGGCTTAAATCATAATGAATTGTATCATTGTTAGGGTCACTAAATTGAGTCGTGTCCAAAGATATTAAGAGAGGGAGATGAGCGAGATAAGTCTTCTTTGCAGGTGTTCCTGAGAATACTGGAGGCAAACTACCTTCAATCGTAATTGATACCTAATCAAGGTTAAGTTTGGAGCTTACAGTTTGTGTTGCAGTAGATGTGTCTGTCCAAGGATCTTTTGCTGTTATTGTGAGAGAGTGACTATTGCCGATATCTGAAGGGCTTGGAGTGCCAGAAATTGTTCGAGTAGAGCTGTCGTAACTTAAGAATGATCCAGATGGTGTAAAAGCACCACTAAGTGTGATGCTTTCGGAATCTGGTTCACTAAATGCATCTGCAGTGTGAACAAATGCATTTGATCTTCCTTCTACAAAATTAAAAGCAGGAATCGTTTCATTAACAGCAGGCCCTGGGTTTATGGATACTGTAATTTGAAAAGTTGATGTTGCAGGAGTCGTGTCTGGATGTCCATCGCTTGCTGCAATTGTATAATCATAAACTCCAGCATCTGCGTTTGATGTTGAAGCCTATAATATATTTTATAAAGCTTACAGTGATCTCTCTAGTTGTTGGATTTAGGGTGAATATGGAAGATGAAGGAGACACAGAGCCTGAATATGTAAGAGCCTCTCCATCTCCATCAGTAAATGTTGCTACAGAGAATGTATAAGAAAATGGAAAATGAGCAACCACAGACTGAGCACCAATAGCAGTGACTAAAGAGGGATTTAAATTAGCTATTAGTGTGAGAGTAAAATTCTCAGTTGTGTGTACAGCTGCTGTTGAATAAGAATCATAAGCATGCACAGTCACATTGTAGACCTGAGCATAAGATTGATTAATTGAAAGAAAAGAGAACTCTCATTTTCCATTTGTATCTAAAGATAGCATTGGACCTGGAGGTGCTGGATCTACTGTAAAATTCACTGTCATTGGATCGTTGAATTTATGGGTGAATCAATATGATGATGAGCCAAAACTTCCTTGTGAAGCATACACAACTTTGGTTTGATCTGTCCAGGAATAATTAGACTATAGTTAAGAAAGTACTTCTTACCACTGGCCTAGGGTTTATAGTCATATTAAAAGTGATTTCGTTTGATAATTCTACTGTAGTAGCAAAATCTTTAACTTTGAGTTTCAAACCAATGTGGGTTCCTGTATAATCTCATGAAATTCCTGCGATATTCATAAGATTAGGAGTTTCGACAAAGAACTCTTTTGTAAAATCTGGTAATGAGCCAGGGAGACTTGTAATACTGAATACTATCTGATCACCTTCGTCATCAACGTCTGGTAAAGTCACATTAATATTAGTTTCTCATGGAATAGCTGGATTTGTCATTGATGTGGAGAAAACTGGAGGATTATTAGCAGAATAAGTTATATTGAAATCATAAGTCCTCACTTCTGCAAGAGTATGATATATTTTTACATAATATTCTATCTTTTGACCAATAAATGAAATATCATTTTGGTTAGTGAGTAATTTAGTGCTAAACTTTGTGAGAATAGAAGAATTACAAGTCATCAGAAATTTTTGCGTAATCTACCAATGAGTCGTTTGATTTTAATCTTCACTCAACAGTTACACCTGAAGGTGTTCCATCTATTAGATGATCACCTAATGTTACCGATTTCCCTTTTACTTTGATATTCTAAATTGGAATACCAGTTTTGGTAGATTTTCTCATTTGAATTGAAAACACCTCCAGTAATGAGAGGTTCTGGAACGACTGTAATGTTTACCTAAAATGCTAATTACTTAAATACTCACGCTATGATTTGTTGTCTCAGTCGAGCTAAGGTCCCAGACCAGGGGCTAAATATTAACTTTCAGACTTACTTTCAGAGTTATCTCATAAGTAGTGTTTAAGTCAGTCATAGGCATCAAGGTGAAGTCCATATTCAGCAGAATAAACCCGTAAGGAGATATGTTGGTGTCATCAATTGTGAACATAGAAGGAAGAGTCACATTGTCATTGTCCACAAAGACTGTTATAGTATAGGGTACATTAGAAGGACTTGTGGCAGTGACATTCCACACAATAGAGCTGTCAGAGCCCCAATACTCTGTCAAGTGAGTGAATGTAGTATCTATAGCTGGCATCTCAAGAGCACAAGTGGCTGAAGAGCTGTCTGTTCTGGACCCATCTGCTTTGAAATAGAATGGGAAGGTTTCGAATTTATCATAAGTATTAAGAGAGCCAATTGAATTGCTGTATGAGAGAAGTGGATTGTTAATAGTTGGATGAGCTTCGTCTGTAACTGTTAAAGCTGGCCCAACATTAAGAGTTACTGTTGTCTCAGTGACCCACTCATAGCATCCGTCAACCATTGTGAGATCATTCCCAAATTTGATGATCGCAGGGTTTTTATAACTAGTATTGTTACCAGAACCGAAATGATTCGCAGTCAAAACACCGTAATGGGCCCCATTGAAGATTGCAAGGATCGAATTTGTATACACAGTTGTTCCTGTTAGAGTTTTATATGCAGACATTGTTAGAGAAGGGACAGCAGGGTCATAGATCATCTAAAAATATTACCTATAAACTTACAGATACCAAGTGATGCTTGGAGGAACTCATACCGATTACAATAACTCTATATTCAGACCCAGTATATATTGTGTTTATGGATGTAGCAAAGAAAGGAGGAGTATAATAGAAGGAATGTGAGAAAGTTAGTGTGTCTATATCCCAGAATATAAATTGTTGATCTGAAGTAGAATCTGCATTCATTAACACTGTAAGAAGATTCCCATAAGCAGTCTTTTCGATATGTAGTTGATCCATGTCTTGGACAATGTTAGTAAGTGCTTTAGTCGTATGAGAAGGAATGCTTACTTGTAGATAATATTTTCCAAGTGATATCGCTACAATCTGCGGTTTTCATCTTGTATAACAAAAGTTCTGTAGAACCTATAAGAACAAATCAATGTATCAAAAATATAGCATATTTGAAAATCAGCAGTTGAAAAGCTTCTCTAAGAATATCAAATTCTATATTGAAAAATTCAAATTTCCTCACAAAACAATTTAGTTTAAATTCCTTGTCAACCTAAGATCAATTCTTATAAAGTAAGTTGAAAATCTGCCTGTCACAAGAGCTCTAACCCGACTTCTTCTCTTCTGAATAAAGCCTTCTATTAAGTTTGCTCCAAAGAGGCATCTAAGAATGGAAGAATGACACTTTATGAAACATTAATGAATATCAAGATAATCTCTTTACAAAATAGATAAGTTCTAATCAGAGAAGAAATTAAAACTAACAAAGGAATTCAGTCCTCACCTGCTGATCCATAAGTAACCATTCCAATGTGATAGTCAATGTGACCAACCACGTGATCAGAGTGCTTGAATACCTGGCCTGATTGGGACAAGTTGAGATATTTACCACCAGTGTCTGTGATAAGCTCATGACATGAGAATAAGAAATCAGTATCATTAGTGTGATAAAATGCGAGCCCATTAGAATCATAATGAGAGGTGACGAGGTAGTAATTTGCAGCTAATGCTTGAACCATTGAAACAGTAACTGTAAGATTGCCTAAAGAATATCAATTTGAATTTACTGTCAACATAATTTTTGACTGTCTGTAAAGTTCTAGAAGATTAGTTTCAGAAATTTTACCCAGCAAAAATCATCACAAAGCCAGCCGGATCTGGATGTCATTGCACGTTGATTGCTGTATAAGTAAGATATCCATATATTTTGAAAGCTGTAATTTTTCCATTGGGATCCATTTTGAGTGCAAATACATTTCCAGAGTAATTATTGTACCCTCTATTTGAAGTTAGGAAATATCTTACCCGTTCATGAGCCCACACACAATTATGTCACCTATGAATAAGAGATGAGTAATTACCTGAAACATCAATTATCGATTTTATCTCTGTATCTCCTGCATTTTCAAGCACAAGAGGGAAATAATAAGCTGGAGTTGTCTAAATCAAAATTTATACCAGTTTTAGCTAGGATAAATTTTTATAATTAAATGAGATTAGTTTTCACTTCAGAGTGAGGGCCAATCGCAATATCCAATTTTAGTTGGTTTCATACGCTGAGAGGGAAAGAAAGGAGTTTTTGAATAAAAATATGAATTTGGATATGACTAAAATTATTTAAAATTGTATTCCCAAAATATGGTAAAAACAGGTTATAGTGGTATTATAAAGAAAAGGACGCTCTCAAAAGCTTACAAGTTCTCTATTTATGTGTCTCAAAATCACAAAATTTCCCTTGTCATTCATCTTTCTTGTCTTCTATATTTTAGGTTATTCCATTTTAAATTATGAAGAATTTCATAAAATTTATCCAAAAAGTAGACTGAAGCCTTTTAAGAAACAGTAATTTAAGGATTGCATACTAAATGGTTGCGCATATCACAGAATCTTAAAATATTTCGCATAACTGTCAGCCATGAATTTTTGAGAGGTTTAGCTCTAATATATTTGAAGGATCATTGTTAACAAAAAGGTTTTATGGTTCCAACATTTTAGTGGGACTTATGAATAGTACAAATTATTTGAATGATTCAAATAATTTTATCACAATTTCCAGATTCTTGCAATTCAATAATAAATTTTTAAATTTTCAATATTTTTAAGACCTTATCATCCCCGTATAATTTCCTCTGCTAAACACTCACTCTAACCCCTGCCTAACCCTAAACCCTATACCTCCCCTACCTCTACCAACTTCGCGCCCTTCAAACCCCAATTTCCACCTCTAAAATTCCCTCTGTGCCACTTACCTTCCAAATTAGCTCTCTCAGTCGCCCAGACTGCACTCCAGCACAGACTTAGGAGTAATAGTAACAACCTCATGTTTATATTTATTAATTATATGCATGCTTTTGGGGTTTTGGGGTTTTGGGGTTTTGGGG